TCTAATGGTAACAACAACAACAACCGAAACCTCTCCAAATAGTCTTATGTCCCATTTAAGTCCTGGTAACAACATATTAAATAATAGGTAATAAGATGAGAATAATTTAAAATTCTTAATTTAGGAAGCTTTATCATTGCACTAAGTGCTTTTTTTAGGTTCTTCTCTTTACTAAAAGACATAAACAGCATCCTAGTAAAAAATATTAAAATCCACACAAAGTCCTGTAGAGAGCAAGTATCCATATGGGTAAAAATAATGCTGTGTAGACCACAGGTTTTTAGGTAAGAGATATGCACATCTACAAATACTTATAATCTCCAAATTTTCCAAATCTATACTACAGGCCAGAAGGATATTCTCACTCAATGAGCAATAAATATATTTTAACATCAGTCCTGTGAAACACCCATGAAAGCCATTCCTGACACTGTTTCTCAATACCTGGAGGGGTGTAGGTTTCCACAGATGAATGTACGAGAACAGAGCGTCTTTTCGAAGGCATAGGCATCTTCCTCTCTTTGTATTTGGCCAAAGCTGCCTGCACAGCTTCAGTGTGGATATCTACATAGAAAGAAAAGCAGTAAAAATACTTTTTACAAGATTGATTATGAAATAACAAATTAACTTTCATGTTTCTGTTTGTTTTCATTGGATGTAAGAGGAATAGAAGCTCTGCCTATCTGTCCATCAATGCGTGTCGGTTCTAGATTTCTTTAAATATTCTTTTGTTTGCAGATTTGATTTTGGAACCATGTAAATATGTCCATAGTCATAAACCAAAACTAAATAAAAAAATAAATCCCCAAATTTCAAAGTAAACTGAAACAAATGAGCCTATATCTAGCTGTTGGCTTCAACTATTCCAGCTGATGTTAAAACACTGCACTTAGACTGTCCAACCTGTTTCTCCAGAAATATCTACTAAGGACAAAAAGAACTGCATAAAAACTGTTCAACTCTGTCGTCGCATTGTTGACAGCAGTGGGCACTGCCACACGGAGGTGTTCTGTGAGTCACGTGGGACACAGCAAATGAAGAGCACGTGGTCATTTGATTCCACCATCCCTGGAGCCCGGGACGCTCCTGAGGGAGAGGAGACACGAACGCAGGCGAAGGAGGTAAGGACGCTGCAGTCCCGAATCTGAATGGATGATGTCACTGTACACAAATGTGGTGTTTTATCTTTAAAAAGTGTGTGCTACCCACGTGTGCTAAACTGTCTACAGACAATAACCAGCCCGACAGCAATCACAGCCCCAGTGCCTGTGGTCGTAAAACACCATCCTCACCTTAAAAACCCTGAGAAATGGCAGATTCCAAGGCAGGGAAGGAAATGCCCAGGATGAGACTAGAGCATCTTATCCTAACAGCCAACAAGGACATGGTCAAATAAACAACACGAGCCAATTCAAAGAGCTTCCTAATGGCCAAGGATGGGAAAATTTGAATATCAATAAGGATAAATGCTATAAGGGATTGAAACATCAGATATGATACTAAAAGAAGATAGAAGAAAAGAAAGGAAAGGAAAAGAGGAAACAAAATTAATTGGTTGCCATAGGTGGATGTCAGTGATCCAACCCATTATTTTTAAAACTAGTAAATAAATGGAAAGAATTAAATATTTATCTCAACTTTCTTGTACTAAGTAGTGGATGAAGGGAGGTATCTCTTTACGGAAGTATTCCAGCCTTTGAATAAAGAAGAAATGGCAGAATCTGGGTTTCCCCATTTGTAGCCCTGAGGAAGCAACAGATCTAGGAACCAAGAGCATCACACGATGAGGGACAGAGTCAGACGTGACAGGGATGCGGGGCACCCGCTGTGGAGTCTCCGGAGTGGTTGGAAATCCCAGCCAGACTTGCGTCAAGCCTGGCCAGCTAAGGAGCACAGCGGCTACACCATGGAGGAGCCACCACACAAACAGGGTCCAGAAAACACGCATCATCCAGCCATGATGTGCAGATATTATTTGGATCCTGGGTCCAAATAAACTTGATTTTAAAAAGCCACTTGACGGCCAGGCG